TATGTTCTCTCCTATTTGTGGATCCTTAGCTCTGAATCTTTAGGTTAGAGTGCATAACTCAGAGTCACATAGAAACCAGGAAAGTAACGAGGGACCATGGTGGGAGGGGGAGAGAAGGAGCTATAGAGTGGAGGGTGATAGGTGCCATTAAGGGAGAAAGGGAAACAGGGTGGGGGGACTTAAGTAGTATAGGAAGAGTATAGGAGTGTAGGAGGGTAAAGCAGAGGGAGCAGGTAGGAGGGATAAACAATGTTAAGACTGTTTGAAAAGACCATCAGGGAAACCTACTATTTTATAAACGTCCTTAAAAAAAAAAAAAAAACTAGGAGGACTGTTGCAAAGTCACATTTTCTGGACATGACAGGCATGTTGAACTCATGACTTCTCCAAAACCATGGCTGCCTACACTAGACCTGCATAAGACCACATCAGTCAACATTCCAGGATGGATCAGGGAAGGGCTTAAAAGGTCCCACTCCTAGTTAAGGAGCTAGAGACTGTTGATGGCTGCTGAGGGAAGCTGAGTCAGTTTGCTCCAGGGACAAGGTCCTGTGATAGCTGCCCATGCTCCATTGGTCAGGCCTATACCCATGTGCATATGGACAATGGTAACTGGACTCAATAGGTCTCTCTCTCTCTCTCTCTCTCTGTCTCTGTCTCTGTCTCTCTCTCTCTCTCTCTCTCTCTCTCTCTCTCTCTCTCTCACACACACACACACACACACACACACACACACACACACACACACACACTATAGACAAGGAGGACATAAATTTGAGAGGGACTATGGGGAGATACAGGAAGAGTTGCAGGGGGAGAGTACAGATATGATCAAAATGTGTTATACTCATGTATGAAATTCTCAAAAAATAAAAATGTTCACTGATTCTCACTAAGAAGAAGAATATGCATTCAGAAGTTCTGATTAAGGTAAAATAATAATTAGGCATTATTTACTTAACTTTGGGGGTTATTAGTCTAATATACTAATGTATCAGTGATAATAATGATAACTATTAAAGCATCAATACATTTATTCAATATCGTCTATGTGCCAGATACTGTTCAAAACTTTTTCCATGTATAATCTCATCTGAGCCTCATGTCAACACTTTGAAGATTGCAATTCTCATTCTACAGATGAGAAAAATAAAGCTTAGATAATTAAAAGAAAAAAAAAACATGCCAAGGTATCAGGGTAAATGGTATGGCTAGAACTTAAAGGCAGGCAGGCAGGCAGGATCCATGGCTGAGTCTGCTCCATCACATGACCTTTGTTAGTGCACTTTCAAATTTTATTTGGGCCAAATACAGACCTTGGGGGAAGTGAGGAGTTCTTTTGGGTATGTATTCTAGAGACATAGAGATCATATAGCATATAAGCTCTGAAGAATGCTAAGACCACTGTTACCTAACCCTTAATGATGAAGAGAAGAACCCTGCATAATGCAGACACTAGATGCAGAACCAAGTATAATTCTTGTGAGATATTTGATTACAGTGTGTAAAGATATGTCACTGTGACTGGTTTAATAAAAAGCTGAAGTCCAATAGCTAGGCAGGAGTTATATGAGGGACTTCCTGACAGAGAGCTTTGAGAAGAAAAAAGGGAGAGTTGCTAACTGGATGCAGAGGAAGCAGGGCACGAAGAAGGAGAGGCAAAAGCCATAAGCCATATGGCATCACGTCGATTGACAGAAATGGGTTAATTTAAGTTATAAGAGCTAGTTAGAAAGAAGAAGCCTAAGTTAAGGCCAAACTTTGATAATGAATAAGAAGTCTCTATGTTGTTATTTGGGAGCTAGCTGGTGGGACAGACAAAGACTCATTACATACAATCCTGACAAAGTTAAACATCCAAAACAATAGTATTGTTTAGAAAACCTTAAGTGCCCAGCATGACCACACAGCATGACACAAAAATTTTTAGCTAATCTACTACTAATTACATCTTAGAACCCTCAAGTCAGCTGGATAGGATCCATCCTCATATTAAAGTTCCAACATACAGGGAAGAGAAAAAAATATACTGTTGCTGAACATATCACTGTTACAGGTTGGACAGATGTTGAAAACCAGAGACAGAGAACAGGGCTCTGAGTAGATGCCTTTAGCTTCTGAGCTGTGAGGGGCCAGGATTCCAAGAAAGATTCCATTAGCTGGGCGCTTGCTGAAATCGATTGAAATGAAGGCACTAGATGGTGCGTATTGGAAATCATAAGGTTCAAGTTTTAAATCCAGACTCTGGGACCTCATTCAATAGGTTAACGTCTCTTGGCTTCAGTTTCTTCTGAAAATTAACATGCCTTAAAGATATCTGAAATGACTCCATGTTGCAATATTAAGTGACAATACAGCCTTGCATTTTTTGCTTCAGTTACAATGCCATATAAAAAAAGTTACTTTCTTCTTTGCAGCTAGTACAATTCTGTCTAGCAAATTGGGCACTTAAAGAGACAATTAATTCCTCTGGACCATGAAGGCCATTCTCTCTCTGCTTTGAGCGGAGGAAAGGAAGAGCAAAAAGAAACAATAGCACATTATTCATTCACATTTATTCTCCTTGCCAATACTCTCAGAAGTACACATGAAGTAGCCCAATACCGATTGCATATGGTTGCTGTATGCGGAAAACTTGCTACTTTCTTTTTGAACAGTGGAAGCTTGCTGCAGATTCCAGCTTCCTCTGACTTACACAGTGAAAGGACACCAGAGAAAACTTGGTTATCGCACAGGGCATCCTATAACAGCAAACGGGAGAGAGGACTTGGAAAAAGGCAGTCACAACTAGACACACTAGATGTGAGCTTTACTATTTTGCACTCAGTTTTAAAGATGTTGGAGTCAGAAGAGTGAAATGACATGAAAACAAGTCTCATCAGAAAGAAAAAAAAGGCACACACAGTTCTTTCAGTAATTGGGAATTGTGCTGCCTAACACTCAGTGCCTTATTAAAGTTAGTGACATTTACCCACATTCATACGATGAAGAAAAACTTCCCAGTTGAGATCTTCAGAGGTAATTTCTTCTCCCGAGCACTGCCACATGACTAGCTCCAAGAATAGCAGGTGACACAGCAAAAAAAAAAAAAAAAAAGGATTTCCTACCTTTTAAGATTTCATTCTTAGTAAAACTAAGACTTCAGAAATGCAAACCCTTCTTTGAAAATATGTTACGTGACAGCCTGCATGTACTTTCGGGCACCTCGTGTGTGCCTGACACCTGCAGAGACCAGAAGAGGGTATGGGAATCCCTTGGAACTGGGGTTGCAGGTAATGGTATGCCATCCTATGTGTGTGTGCTCAGAACCCAACCTGGATGCTCTTCAAGAGCAGTACATGCTCTTAACCACGGAAACATCTCTCCAGTCCCTGAATGCTGCTGTTTCCACTGCCATTTACGATGATAAAAACATGCCAGTGATATCTCAAAATCAGGAATTAAAAGGCAAGTGATGGACTAATGCATGCAGCAGTTCCAACATTTAATATGTGAACAGAATTGTGCTTCACCAGAAGCCTTTTCCTATGTATTCATGTTCTTTTTTTTTTAAATTTATTTATTTCTATTTGCATTAGTGTTTTGCCTACATGTATGTTTATGGGAGGGTGTGAGTTCATTCTTAGAGTTACAGACAGTTGCTAGCTTCCATGTGGGTGCTGGCAATTGAACCCGGGTCCTCTGTAAGAGCAGTCAGTGCTCTTGCATCTCTCCAGCCTGATATTTATGTTCTTGACACAGAGGTTCAGACAGACGCTCAGGTGTGATGAGATGGGTGGAGGCATAATCAGCCGCACATCTGGGGCACCCGACTCACAGATACCATTCCACTTGTTCCTTGATAGGATACAGAGGTTTTTCTGAAACATCTTAGGTAATTCCCAAGCAAGAAGTGTCCCCGGATCACCTCTTGAGGAACACAGTTTTATTAGATGAATTTGGAACCAGTTAGAGCCTGTTAAAATATGAGGAGTTAAAAGTCCAGGCGCCACTTAACAGTTCATACAGACCATTAGGCCAGTCCCGATGGACAATACTTGAAACTTCCATGTGAGCAAATGCACTGCATGCTAATTTTTTCAATTATAAATAAAAATCAGCTGGGTGTTGAATAATTCATGACTTCCTGCAAAGCTGAATTTGAAAACATCAAGCTGGCAGCCTGTGCCATCCAAGCCCACGCATGGGCAGCTGCCATGCACGCATATCCCTTACTTTTTTTTGGAGATTCTCTCCACATGCTTTATTACTTGGCTTTCCACATTAGCAAGTCACACGAAACACAATCAATATCACAGAGGCCACAGCGTAATTAAAGACAAAGATGAGGCATTGACAGCTTGCTGGTACAGAAACCTGAAGGGAATAAGGTATTGTTCTCTAATTTATGGAAGCTAAATCCTGGCTAGAAATAACGATAAATCTGATAATTATTGACTTACTGGAGGGTCCCTTCAGAAATATATACTCAGTTTTCAATTACGATAGCTGCTGGTTAATGGAACTTAAGAAATCAGTCATAAAATGGTTATATTTTACAAGTCAGTGGGATAAGAACACCGAGAGTCTTTTGATTCCTTTGGGGCACCTTAATTACTTGAAAAGACAGTGTAAGCATTACGTACACTGGGACTTACAGGTGAAGTTTTTAAATTTCAATTTCTTCCCACTGAGCCAAGGGGAAAATGTTGATTTGTTACTTTGAATTTCACATACCATTCTTTCCAAAATGACTCAAGTGTGGGCCTATGTTGCATTCACTCACTGAATTAATGCTGAATTTATATAGTAGAAGACCGACACAAAAATTAAAAAAAAAAAAAAAAAAACTTTTCCAAAGCAATGTGGCATTTGATAGCCCAAATCTGAGTCATACTTGTTCCAATAAGTCCTTTTTATTGGTGAGTTTTACCACCTATTAATTTTTATTCCCTTCAGATTTTGCTAATGTGGATTGCAGTGTTTCACACTTTATTGCTTAAAAGAAACCCTGAACGCACCTCCTGAGTGTTCTGCTTCCCAGGGACCTTCACCAGGCTGCTGCAAGGAGAAAGCTCTGCTCTCAGCTGGCCTCAAAGTTGACTCTAGTCTGTGGAATTTGTGGATTCTGTCTCTGACTAGGATAGCATTGCCCCTTTCCTCACGTTCTGCACCCTCTCTTGCATCAGACGGACCCAAGTCCTTTTTCTGGACTACGTTTGCAATCTCAGCTACCGTGTCTGAACCGGATTCTGCCTTTTCTGCAGGGTTATATCTGTGCACATGAACCACATCTTCCCTCTCTCCTAGCAGCTTGGAAAGCAGTGAATAGAAATCACCTGTGGGGGGGGGGGGAGAGATAAAGAGGCAGAGTGTTTACAAGACAGTAAATTTTACAAAATTTGGTTCCTTAGAAACATCATCTCTTGATTGTGACAGTGAGTGAGAAGCAAGGTTGTTCTCAGACTTTCACAGATAGGAGGGATGGAGGGATGGGAGGGACAGAAGAGGGGACAGAGAGAAGGGGAGAGGAAACTCAAACAATGGAAACAGATTCTTACATTTCATTTATATACAAGCTTCTCCCTGCTACTTCATACACACTGTGACTATTGACATATTAGTAGAAATAAAACAAAATAATTCACACGTGATGGCATGGCATGTTTTAATCATTGGCTTTCACGGGATAGTTTAACTGATATGAAAAGTAAGAAATAGTTTCACTGATACGGAAATTAAGAATTTAGGAGTCCTTCAGATTTCAAAAATAAAGTTGTCACAGCTGCATTAAAGAAAGCTATCATTACAACCAAACAGTTTAAATTTGTCTTAAAAATCTGTTAAAGCACAAGCTATAAGAAATCAAATACTTTTTCTCAAGACTATTTGTGAAATATAACCAATCTACCAGACGTGTATATGTGACAACTGAAAAGTCAGTCTTATGGTTTCCCTAGTAGCTAGCATAAGTAGTTCCAATTGTTCCTCTTAAGCAAGAAATGAAGCAGTTCCAGAATAATTATCTTTTGATATAAGAATCCTTTAAAAGCAGTTGGAAACAAAGAACATAAAAGGGGAAAACAAAACAAACCCTGAAAATCATTAGCTGAGTCATCACTAAGTATTTTTTATGAGTATATTAAAGAATGAACTTGGGTAGGATTTTATGAAAACAAATCATGGATAAACTGTGGTTAGATACAATATCAAAAGAAAGCCCATACAATATTTTAGTCATCATCACTTATGTGATCAAATCCATTATGTCTGATATGTGAATGGAAAACACACAGGTGGTCCCCTGGCAATCTTCAGGTCTTGCTGTTCTCAATCTATTCTACAGGTTGGTTGCTAGGAAACCATGATTATAGGTTCTGATTGTCTACATTGAATTACATCTGCATCACCGTTGGCTAACATTTATAAGCCTTTTTTTACAGGGCCATGAGAAGCCAAAAAGTCATAAATGGTTTAGGTATGATAAAAGCCACTGAAGAATATATTCTTAAGACATTTGTGCAAGAGGATACAAAGTCTTTCCAAACTTACACTAACATATTAGTCATAGTTACAAATAATCTTGGCTTAACAGTTCAAAGTAGGTTTGATATTCTTGCCCATGAAATCAGCTTATCCTAGGCGAAATCTTCAATCAGAAAACAATTCTTAGCTAATGGGGCAATCTCTTCAAAATACACAAAACAAATCATGACTCTACCAAACTGGTTAGGTCACAGTCACACTCTGCCTTACAGTAGAAAGTTCATCCACTTCAGCTAAATTCTTCTCTCTCACAAAGTACAAACAGTTCATCATGCTTGAGTAATGCGACATCTCACACAGAAAAATAAAATACAATGTTATCTCAAGAAGAGATAAAACACAATTTCAAACTTGAATCAATGTCATCACATTAATATGAAAGGAGGATCACAGACTGAGTACTTTGCATAGTCCCACAAGCTTCATCCAAATCTAACGGCAGTCGGTCATAAAATACCAAGTGTGGAACACTGTTGTTCCTTTGAAACAGTCATTTAAAATTATCTTTGGGTTAGGAAAGCAAAATGATAAAGTAACAGGATAGGCTTGGCTGCACTGAGCTGTGGAAACACAGCTCTGGAGACCACTAGATGGCTGTCTCACTATCTCCCAATATTTTTTATGTGGGAAGCTGACCAGTCAATCACTCTCTTCCTTTCTTTCTCCCCTTCTCTCCTGGCTGCTCCTGGATAGATGGAATATTGAATGGGTAATCGTTTTTCTTAAGCACATTAAAGTGTCTCTACTTCAGAACTATGTCTGATGGGACTTTAGATGGAGCAGGACATAAACAGAAGAGATTGGCTGGAAAAGATTTTCTCCCATTGTGTAAACTGTCTCTGCTCTGCAGATCTTTTTTTTTTTTTTTTTTTTTTTTTTTTTTTTTTTGCGGTGCAGGGGCTGTTCAATTTCACATAGCCCCAGTTGTCAATTCCTGCTATTATTTCTCTAGCTGCTGGAGTCCTTTCCAGAATGTCCTTGCTTATATCTATACACTGAAGTGTTTTACTCAAGCTTTCCTTTGTCATTTTCAGAGTTTCTTATCTTCCATTAAGGTCTTTGATAAACTTTCAATTGATCTGGGTAACAGACAAGGGTCTAGTTTAATTCTTCTACAAACTGGCATCCAGCTTTCCCAACACCATTTACTGAAGAGGCGAAAATGCATCTTTTTGACACCTCTGTGTCATCAAAAGGTGGATGTTTAAGAGGGGATATGGCTGAGAAAATGGAAGGAAAGAGAATATTGAGGGAAGGGTTAAATAAAACTAAGGAGACATGAAAAGGCTGTATGGCAACCACTATTTTATAAGCTAATCAAGAAATGTAATTTTTAAAGGAGTTTGAACTGAGAAAGCATGCATGAATGAATAATGCTTTTCCTAGAAGTCACAGACTATTAAAGAAAAATCCCAGAACCAGGCATGGAACACCACTCCATGAGCTCTTTGGTCAGGAAGGCTCTTAGAGCCCCCAAAGCAATCAAGGCTCCTGCCCTGTCCTTGGTTACTCACCAGAACTAGATGCAAAGACCCAAAGACACCAATTACTTTCCTTATGTGGCGTAGAGAGAGCAAGCTGGCACTAAGCTGGAGACTTCTCTGTGCACTAGCTTTTATAGTGCTAGGACCTCTCCTCAGGCTGTAGGATCTGGTGGAGTTGGTTTTGTGAATCTAGGATCCCTACCTGGAAGGTGGTGGTAAGCAGGTTGCTGGAGGAGCAAGGACGTATCCACACACACAGAGATTATTGATGCTCTCAGCGGGCAGTGGTTAATGTAGAGACTCATAACTGGTTAAAAAAACAGCTGAAATTTGTGATGACTCAGTGTTCACCATAATGGCATCACTTGCTCCATGGTTCAGAGGTCATCACAGAAGAGGCAGAAGATAGAATTTGAGAGCCAGAAAATGGGGAGGGTGGCTGCTGGGAAATGCTCTCTTGTGGTCCTGACCACTGCACTCACAAACTGAGAGCAGCTGTGGCTACTTCAAAAGATTGAGCCCCAGCATTCCATCACAGATGGGGAAGGGCTCATGATGCCCAATCTGTAGACGAGGAACTATTGGTAAGTTCCAGCATGGGGAAGGAGAAGAAAGTTTTCTTCAGTGATGTAGCCACTGCCATGCTAGCCATGCCCCAGTTAATAACATCCCATCTATGATCATGAAACAACCTTAATTAGACTCAGTGCCTCCTTATAAATCATGAGTAATGTGTGTGTGTGTGTGTGTGTGGGGGGGTGTTACTGGGAAGAAGAAGGGGTCCAGAGGAAGTGAGATGGGGTAGATATTTAAAGTAGATTATATGCATGTATAAAACTGTCAAAGGATAAATTAACAACATTTTAAAAATCTTCGGTGGCTTGCTTTGCTGTTGGTTATTTCTGGGTATTCATTGGTCCACATGTCTTTAAAGTCCACATAGGAAGAGGCAGCTATGCCTCCTTCTGCCAATCCTTCCTTCACATCTTAATCTTTTCTACCTGCACCTTCTCTTTGCCTCACTGACGGCTTCAGTGGTCATGGAGGACAGACTGAGTAGAGCTCCTCCTCTGATGCATGATGTCGAATTTGCTCTCTGGTGTCTGCTGATGGATGGAGCCACACCTACTTAGAGCCCCCTGGGTTATATACCACAGACCCTTATTCCTCACACTCTCACATCTTTCTGCTTAAAAGTTCCCACACAACATGCACCCACCCATATACATGCACCTCCCCCACCACACAATTAAAAAAAAAATCCCTGCATTCTGAAATGTCCTCCTCTAATACCCCTTTTCAAATATTGGAAACTTAACATGTCTAAAATTGAAGTATTTTTCTGCTTTCCATTTTTATATTTTTTCCATAATTATTCTCTCAATCCAAAGCACTGAATTTGCCCTTCTCTCTCTAGTGACCCACACAGTCCAAATGATTCAGATTATGAATGTTTTTTGCTTAATGACCACAAGTACTCATCAGGGATTCCCATCATCCTCTGGCTGTCATGCTGAGAGAAAGGTTGTTCCCTTTCCTCCCAAGAGACCCCAATCCTGATCTGGACTTGAACCCTATCATGTGGTGTTGAAGCCTCTCTCTCTCTGCTGACTGGATTGTGACTGACAGAGCCCCGCCTCCTTGGAGCCTTCTGGGTGACACTCCAGACACCTTCCCCTCATGTCAGTCAACCTGTGCATTTCTGAGTGATTTCTCTAATTCTTGTCTGAGACTCTCTGCTAAGGTAACTGCATAATTTATTTCCCAAACTGAGATACTTTGGGCAAGGCAGATCATGTTATTAATATTTATGCTAGGAAAAATGTGGATGATCCTAAAAACTGTCTGTTACCCTATCTGTGGCTGACAGATAACAGTCATGTAAGTGGCTTCCAGCCCATGTAGCACAGCAGAAGTAGCCACTGTGTTTTAGGTTAGCACGCCCTCCTAACTTTGCTGACATCCTCATAGAATTTAACACATTCCATCTCTATGACATAGCTGTTATTATTTCCCTGATACCTGGTGTGGAAACTAAAGGCAGTTCTATCTTGCCCAGCTGCTAGGAAGTTCAGCAGGGATTCGAAGCACAGTTGTACTGAGTTACATTCTACTGAGGTTTGGATACACTTGTGTCTCCTAAGGATTTGCAGGTCAAAAATGATTTCTTTTTGCTAATTATTAACAAGGTGGAAATTTAATAAGATTACTCTTTGTTCATATTATAACACTAGGAACTTGTAAACCAATTAGTGCATATGCACAGCAGTCCCTTTGTAAAACTGAACTGAAGGATAATGACTAGTTTC